TAACCTAAATTATATATTTTAACCTAACACAGACAGCCTAGAAGTTAAAATAAGCTGAATGCCTATTAACCTGTTGCTATTGCTATTAGCTCCAACTCTACACCACCAACCCATCTGACAGCAGGCAAGTTCCTGTGCATTAACAAATGATTTGCCTCATCATCAAATCCCCACTGACAGATTACCAGAGTAGCACCAACATCCTGCAAAAAGATAAATTACAGCCTACTTAATGACCCAAAACTTTCAAAAGGTTATTGCAACAAGAAACATCATCATAGAACTACAGTAGGAAAAAGATGAAGGCAGACGAGTTAATAGTATGAATAAGAAGAGTATGCAATGAGAAATAGAAACACCAACAAGAAGTTTTTGATAGGAATAAAAAAAATCAGCTAAAAAGTGAAAACTCACCTTGCATTTCTGAACCATGTCATCAAAATATTTCTGCTCTTGCTGACGCAAAGTCTGGAACTTCTCCACGGTATCAATGTCCACCTTATGTTTAGTCTTTGGTTTGGGTGGCTCAAATGGACAAGTCAATATTGCAATTTTCGCATCTTCAATTTGCTTTGGCATTTGCGGATGGCTCATATCCTTATCTACAGTAATTCCATATATTAGTTCTGTATCTTCCAACTTCCCCCCAACTTTTCCCTCCACCTTTATCAGATCTAAATTCACATCCTTCCTCTCTAGATCTGCAACAGCAAGAACTGCTTTAACAGCAATCTCAGCCAAACTGTGCTTGCACCTGTTCACACTGCAAAAAACAAGAAGTTATAGATTCAGACTACATAATCTATGTAACAAGCAAGCAGCCTCACTGGAACTTTAAGAGATAATATTCACTGATGGTAATCTCGCTTCCTTAACTCCAATCTTATGAGTCTCACTACCATAATATTTATAAGAGCTAGATGATGGTTGGAGCAATTTCCAACACACAAGCTGCCACCTAATCTACTTGGTCCAATAGTCCAGCATAAAAAGTAAACCCTGCCCTGTCACAGCCATAATAGCCTGGCGATATTAGCTTTCTGCATGTAGAAATAGATTAAAAAGAGGACTTTTTTAATAACTAGAGCTGCTCAGAAATAATTCAGAAAGGGTCAGAACCTAGCCTACTGGACTAACCATCCTGATTGAACAAACTACCTAGTTCTTGGAGAGTATGGAGAAGTTAAAGTATCAAATTATGACACATTTCCACTAACATAGAGTTGCATCTACACTACATATCCTAACAACTATTTATTTATACTGCCACTACAGAATGTGTACTCAAGCCCTATAGTTCAATGGCGATGAACAAAGCAAAGCATGATTACTTATGGGGAATTGTTATGCAAGTTAAATGACAATATTTAACATCATATTGATTATTGACAGGTGCAATGGAACAATGTCACAATCTGATTTGGCAGATCCTCTTGGTGGTTTCATTAATTCTAGTTTGCAGACAGATAATAAGAATGAAACATGTCAAGACTCAGCTATTCCGCAAAACACAATAGTGTTCTGATGGATTATGAACAACAACCTACCATAGTAAGAGAAAGAAAACAATAACAGAAAACTTACCAAAACATCTAACAGTAATGAAACAAGGCATGACAGTTCCAACAAACATCAGAGAAAGAATATGGATATTCTCCTTATTCATTTTTAAAGGACTGGCAGGGGGGTGACCAAAAGAGGGGCTCACATTTTTGAGGACAGAGTAGTCATGCAAGTTTGAACCAGAGGCTCTATATTTGCTGCTCCAAAATCAAACTTCTGGGCTATATGCTCCAAATGATCAAAAGCTATTCTAGAAGCCATTTCATAGCCCTCGGCAATCCTGATGGGATGAATTCCCCGTTCTAATAACCGCTCAGCTTGCTCTAGAAGTGCACCCGCCATGACAACAACACCGGTTGTCCCATCACCAATTTCATAATCCTGGCTTTTAGACAGCTCCACCATCAGCTTGGCAATTTGGTTGTCAACATCCATCTGCTCCAAGATTGTTGCACCATCATTTGCTGGCAAGAAAGGAATAACACATAAGAGACCTTCCTAGGGAAAAAAGGCATATAAACAACTCCACCATCAAATCTTTACTTTTTTACCTTACAATAAAACTCAGTCTTATCTTTCTCAAGAACCCTATACCTTACCAATGGGAAGAGAAGCACCATATGCAATTCACAGAAAAGGGGAGCTCAATGCCAAGCAAAGTTCAGTTAGCTAAAGAATTCAATCAGCCATCTACCAAAATAATTCCCTATGAAACCAGAATACTGTTCTTCACTAAAACTTCCCTAATTAGCAGATGAAAATTCATCACTTCATACTACTTTAAATTAAGCACTGATTCCACACAGCTTCAAACCAAAAACGTATTCGTTTTCATATCAAACTCACAGAAAACAGATCCATAAGTAACAAGCAAAATCTAAAATCCTATCCAAACTACCAATACTTTTTACAACGATGCAGCAAACAAACTTCAACTTTAAGATCACGAATAAAATGGAAACACAGAAATTGTAGAGGAGAGCAAGCAACGAGAGTTAACTGATGGTGACATCGCCGTCGGGGCTCTGGAGCATCTTGTCCATGCCCTTGGGTCCGAGCGATGTCCGAAGGATACGAGCGACGGCTTTCCCGGCGGAAATGTTGGCCTTCTGCGCTTCTAGTCCCCTCAGCCGCGTCTTCTGCTCTTGCTCTTTGAGTATGATGAAAGGCCTCCCGAACTCATCGAACGCCAACGCCATTCCTCTTCCACTGCAACCCTCAGAATCTCTTCTTCACCTTCTCCTCCTTCACTTCGAAGCTTTTTCAGAGATGGAACGGAGGAGAAGAGTGTAGAGCATGCGGTGTT